CCGGTTTATGGCCCATCTGATATTGATACGTAGGTTTATGGCCCATCTGATATTGATACGTAGGTAGTCATTTGATCAAGCAAGTCCATGTTGCAGGAATCCAGGAGGAAATCGTCATTAAGCTCGAGTAAGGGTGCATCTAGACTCGATTCCGATTCCATGGGTTGAGGTTCTCCGCTTCGCTTAGCTTGTGACGGTTCCTGTATGACTTTCGTCACAATGCTAGGCACTTTATGCACTGTCCTTTCCCTTGTAGTTCTTTTCTTCTCCTGTTCTTGTATTGCTATCGTTCCCTCTGATCTGTTAGTGGTTTTATCGAAGCTTGTGGACTCTGCAATTTGGCTGCAGGATTCATGAGGACTGGAAATGGTATTACTAGTTTCTGAAAGAGTCTTGAGAATTGGTTTGCGGACATTTTTGTTATTGCTTTTCCTTGCTTTTTTGGCCTTTCCATTTTCTTTTTCCGGATCTTCGGCCCTTTCTCTCTTCTTAGCTTGTTTGACGGTATCAGAATTTGTTTGCTTTATGGTCATTATGTATTTGTTGCAACTCCTGATTGCAGATTTCCAGGGCTTCAAAAACTGTAGCATTAATAGCTTCTTGATGTACTTTTCCATCTCGTCTATAACTTCCTGTTCTGTCGGCTGATTGTTATAGCCTCTGTCTTCCCTGAATGCGATGAACTTCCTAATTTTGTAAGTCAGAAAGTCAACTGGACTGACATTCCATCTATCGAAATTATGGTGTCCAGATACACTGCAGCAGGTCCTTGTCTTTCCCTTCCTTAGCGATCTCTTTACCAGACTGTAAGCTTGGCATGATTTAATTATGGTTTTACAGTCTTTACATTTCAAGTGAGGGAAAAACAGGTGGTTTATTACATTTTTCCCACCAACTTCTTTGTTGCACACAAAACACATTGTGCGATAACAACGAGAAATGAATTGTACCGACCCTAAGCAGTCATACATTTTAACAGAACTTGTTATGTGTTTTGAAACAGTTTTCGGCTTCTTTTTATCTGTAATAACTGAGCACTTGCTAATGTTATCTCGTATTTCAGCATCTGCACTAGAAGTTTCTTGTTTAGCAAATCCATGAGAGTTTTCTATGGGAGGGGTTGCTATATCCTGTGTTTGATTATTCTCATCTATCGACATTTTATTATCTGTCACATTCTCTTCTTCACTCATAAGCTGCTGGGTGGTTCTGTTATCACTGGATAGTTTCTGAGAATCCATAGAATCGTTTATAATGCAAGATGGTGTAGTGGCATAATGGGACGTTTCATTTTGTGTTGAAGATAAGCTCTGGATGCCACAGACTACAGTTAAATTTTCTGTAACCGATGTTGAAGGTTCTTGGGGTGAAGGTGATTCTTGTTGGTTTATTAGTTGTTTTTCAGGATGCATGTTTATCTGTGGTTTAAACTTTCTGCCTTTCTTGTTTTTCTTTTCTCTCTCAGTTCCCACAATATCTTTAGGCTGCATGGAAGAACAGGAGTTGTCTATAATGCAAGATGGTTCAGTGACATAACGAGACGATTCATTTTGTGTTGAAGATAAGCTCTGGATGCCACAGTCTCCAGTTGAAGTTTCTGTAACTGATGTTGAAGGTTCTTCGGGTAAGGGTGATTCTTGTTGGTTTGACATAAGTTGTTTTTCAGGGAGAGGTATGTTTATCTGCAATTTAGACTTTCTGCCTACTTTTTTGTTTTTCCTTTGTTCTCTCTCAGTTCTCACAATCTCTTTTGGCTGCACGGAAGAACAGGAGCTGTCTGCAAAGTGCTCTTCACTTGACATTAAAGCAGATTGAGTGGCATCCTCCAAAGGTGATGGTTCATCGGAAATGAAGTGTGTACCAGAAGGATTCAGACTTATACGCATTTTTGGAATTTTTACTTGCTCTCTGTTTACCTCTTGTGAGGCTAGATGTATAGGTTGACTGTTGTCACTTGGAGGACACTCTACACTTTGATGAGATATTTCTGTTTCAGGCAAGGTTGAACTTTCTATACGTATTTCTGAAATTTTTGCTTGCTCTCTGTTGACCTGTTGTGTGGCTACATATATAGGTTGGCTGTTGTCAGTTGGAGGGCACTTTACACTTTGATGGGATATTTCTGTTTCTGGTAAGGTTGAATTTTCTATACTATGTTTCTCGGCTACATCCTCTGCAGATGGTGTACTAGAAATTGTTGATTCTTGAACATCGTTCCCTGCTCTCTTTCTCTGATTATCAGTAGCCGTTTTGTTCCATTCTGGAAACCGTTCATCAGGAGGCGTCGGCGGAGGAGTTGGAGAGAATATTGTTGGGTTTCTGGAAGGCTGTAAAGGTACTGAGAAACCCTTGGGGGAAAGAATTGCACTTTGATGTTCAAGTGCCAAGTTATATTCTTTGACTGCCTGATCAACGAGGCCCGTATTGTTTTGGGTAGAACTTCTATATTCATTACAAGTCTCACTACTAGATATAGGAGACCTACTGTCAGGCTTGGCTTCTTGTGGCGAGTCTTTCTGAATAAGTTCATGTGACATTTTACAAAAGCTCTTATCTACCTTATCAGGATCAGCCTTGATTGATGACAGAGGACAAGGGCACTCTACCGTTTTATATTCCTTGACTTTCCGCAAATCTATAGGTGTTGCGGGTGGGGATAGTTGGCATGCAACATTCATGGCGGCTGTTTGAGCAAATGCTGGCGAGTTTGTAATTTGGCCCGAAATCTGTTCCTTTGTTTCAGCTTTGGACATAGAGTACTTTGCAACCTCAATTTTGGAAACTTGAGAATAGATTTCAACGCTTTCATGGCTTGCATGGTAAACCAGATTTTTAGAATTATCTGTGCAGTGGTCAGGTTTTTGCCCATATTTTGTTTGGAATGTCAACATTGCATTAGCCTCTTTAACAGCTTTTGTATTTTGTTGAGCATCTTCCCTCTGCTGGAAAATGGGATTCATCTGCCATCCTGAATAAAGCAGTTTTTGGTCACATAACTGCTGGTGCGTTTTAGGATCAGCCTGCATTAGAGGCTTACTGTTTTCATGCTGTTCTCTTGTAGGATTCTTCTGCAATGCTGGATATTGGATTTGCTCCGCAGGATTTCTCATATAATGTACAGGCTTTTCCAAGAAGGGTTGTGTCCTTTCATTCATTCTGTGATCATAGTTAAGCTTCGTTAGGTTTACATTTTGACGCTCTTGTTGAATGCATTCAATTTTGCCAGGTGGAGTATGTTGTTTGTTTTGCATTTTGTGCTGAATTTGCTGTTGATAGTTATGCATATTCAGATTCTGCTGGTAATGGTTATATTGGCTGGGCCATGGCTGACAATGAGAACTTTGGCACTGTTGCAAAAATGGTTGAACCTCTGTTGGAGTGTGTTTCCTCTGTCTATACTGCTGTGTCATTTGAATTTGTTCCTGATATGTTCTGCACTGAGGCACTGAACAAGGTACTGTGCCATTTCTTTGATAACCCGAGGGAAGTTGAGGAAATGACTGTAAATTGGAATCTTGTTGTCTATAACCATATATATTGTTTAACATTGGTTGCTTTGGGGATTGATAGTTTAATTTCTGATGAGCTTGTTCTACTGAATGATTACTTTGCTGATATTGTTGATATGCTTGTGGCATTGCATGTGACTGAATGTATTGTTTTGAGAATGTGTTTTGCATTAAGGCATGCTGCATATTTGGTTGCTTTTGTTTGCTAGCATTCTCAAATTCAGGAGCTCTCGACTGTGATGTAAAATTTGGTTTTCTTGACTTATCATACGCAATGGGAGCTTTCGATTCTAATGGTATTTTGGGCATCATATGTGTATATTGTGAGCTGCCATGGGAGGACGGCACCGGGACATCTGGAAGCTTCTGCAATGCTTCTGCTACACATTGAATTGGAGGATGTTGATGCCCTGTTGACAACTGTTGAGACCACTCACTCGACAACACTGGTGGTTGTCGAAATCCCTCACATGGGGATAACTCTTGAGGATTTGAAACACTTGAAAAAACTGGTACTTGAGGATGTGTAACCCTTGGCAACACTGGCACTTGGGGTCCTGAAACCTTCGTAAACACTTGTGACAGTTGAGAACATTCACTCGACACTGATGGGTGGTGAAGCTTCTTCCACGGGGATGGTGCATGAGGATTTGAAACCCACGCCGCTGACACTTGTTGAGACATCGTGCTGGGGAATGGTTCTTGAGGACTTGAAATTTTGGAGGACACAGGAATCTGAAGATTTGAATCTCGTGGTTGATGAGACCACACATGGGAGGACTGAGTTTGATCTGAAACCTTCCTCGGACACTGAGAAAACTCACTGGGCACAAAGGGATCCGGAACTCTTGGTAGCCCTGGCAGTTGTTGATATTTCTCACAGAAGGGTGGTGCTTGAAAATTTGGAGCCACTGGCAACACTGGTGATTTGGGTTTTGGAACCATTGGCGGCACTGGTGCTTGAGGCCTTGAAACCCTCTGCTGTTCGAATGGTTGTTGAGACCAGTCTGACACCCTCCGAGGCATTGGTGGCTGTGTTGATTTTTTACAGGGCGTTGGTGCTTGAATATTTGAAGTCATCGACATCATTGACATGTGTTGTAGTCGCAACATAGCTGGATAATCTGACATCCTTGATCCCAGTCCCTCATAGAGGTAATCTGAACCCTTCGGCGGTACTGGTGGCTGATGAAATCCCTTCTGGCTTGAAGGAGCTGGGTAATGCGAAACCTGGGTGGGCGCTGCTGATTGCTGCAATCTCTCGTGGCGTGACGCTGGCTGAAGAAACCTCCCCTGGGGCGATGGAGCTTGGGAATCTGAAATCCTCCGCACCGCTGGCACTTCAGGACTTGAACCGCTGGACACCGGCTGATCTTTGAGGACCGGCAGCAGTGGGACATCTGGAACCTCCCTCGACGCTGCTGACACGGCTCCAACGAAAGCCGGTTCTACTGTGGGGCGCGCTGACTGGACGGGCTGTGTGGCCTCTCTCTTGACCTTAGACGACCTCTTGACCAAAGGACGCCGAATTCGCTTGAGTTCAGGCATTGGGGGAAGATGGGCCATGTTGGGGGGTTGCATACGGCCTGGCGAAGGGAGAAAAAGAAAGTGTGTTAAGAATATGAAGGAATAAACATTCAAATCAGATTTTTTCAACTTTCAAACTGACTTCTGAAGGAAATGTTTATAAACTAAAATAAGCAATTTTTACGAACCATGCAGTTAATTTTATAATATACTTATTGAGGGAATAATGACTTATTTATAATTATGGATATCAAAGATCATGAATAGCAAAACTATACCGTGCCGATACAATAAAATTAATACAAAAGGGTTTTGATAGAGAGCAGTTTAGGAAGTCCATTGTACTTCTTAGTTTTTTTTTTAAGCCTCTTTTGCATGTTTTATTTTTTTGTCATCGGTGTTATTTTATGAATATGAGTATCTTTTAGTTTAGTACCTGAACGGACTTTTCAATGTTTACACAGTTCTTTTCTTTTCCGTGCTATACCGTGCTATCATGGTTGTTCATATTCGGAATTAGCAAATAATACCTATTAATATTCTCTATAGTCCCCTTTTTCTTAATCGCAAAAAAAAAAAAAAAAAAAAAAAAAAAAAATAATATTCTTTATTCTTTACCCCGGTCATTCTATATCATACATCTTCGTCAATGCAAAACAGTAAAGGCCACAGTGTATATTCACGAAATTCGCATTCATTCCGCACACGCCATGTCTCATATAACATAGATCTAAGATGCACCTCTAAAGTCTCAATAACGACAAAATTGAGATACCAAGCCTGTCGTATTCTTTGATACACTAAAATGGAAAGGAAGAAAGGTTAAAGAGCAGCAGCTGAAAAGTTTTAATTAACAGATGAGATAGGGATTATATAACGAAAGGGAGGAGGAGGGATAGAGGGATGAAGAAGGGAGGAAAAGATCTAAGGCTCATATTAAATACTCATAATACACTAAGATCCCCTCCTATAACGCTAAACACTAACAACAACCACATAACCACACAGAACACCTTAATAAACACATATCTATACACACACAACCTCGCCACATGAAGCAAGCGTCGCATCTTGACCGGCAACAACCAGAAACTAGCAGACAAAACAAAAAGACCGTAACTGCCCGGTCCGCTAGTTCGCATTACAATTTTTTTGCTTCTCTCAAACGACCACCTTGGCTCAGCCTCGCATATAGGCGGTCGCAGCTGGGGACTATTCAGAGGGTTTAATATCATCCCCACTGCATACCAAAGATTCAATGAGAGAACTTGGAGAGGGAGGAGGGAGGGAGGGGAGAGAGGAGGGAGAGGGAGAGAGGAGAGGGAGAGGGAGGAGGGGAGAGGAGAGGGAGAGAGAGAGAGAGAGAGAGGTGAGAGAGAGAGAGGAGAGAGAGAGAGATGAGAGAGAGAGAGAGAGAGAGAGTGAGTGAGTGTAATAGCTCACGTTACCACAGGCATCCCTATGGCCATATATGTGTCTCTCGCGTTACCACAGGCATCCCTTATCAACACACATAATTACTCACGTGCCCTCTGCTCCAACTCACGGGTCACCCTGATCTACTCAACATGGTTTTCCACTCTCGGGCCTGGTCCCTGTAGGCTTATGCGCTCACCCTTTTCCTCCTACTATTGCCATTACTTATACTATACCACATATCCTTATACATACCCTATACAAGCACATCAGCCACACGTACCCCACGCCTAAACATTCACCCGGAATGCAGCAGCTCGCACCTTCCGCCTATGACGTCTCACTCTGTTTACATCGTCAAATTATCTCTCCCTTCTGCCTCTTCTACCCTCTGACACTATACGGTACCCCATCCACATTCCACATAGACCGTGTATAAAGACTGCAAGCGACAGAGAGACAGCCACTACCCACTGTACAGATTGAACCTCCGTCCAACCTCTGTACCAGCCACCCGCTATAAACTTGTCAAGCAGAAGACCAGAAGTCTCCATACCCGCTCAGCAGACCTCATCAGGACGTGACAAACGTCAACTCGGTATCTTCAAAGATACATATACATATGCATATACGCCTGACCATTGCTTCCTCTGTTCATTCCTCTCTTCTTGCCACACCAGACATTAGAATGTTGTGTTGTCTATCTCTTCCAGAAGAGCTATGTATTGTTGTAACGCTTCCTTGTTCATCACCGTTCGTCACATGCTAACAACGTGACTTGGTTGGGGAGGGAAAGGAGGAAGAGGAGGGAAGTGGCAAGAAGCAGCTGTAGAGCTCAAAGTGGGGAGGGAAGGAATGAATTCAAGGGAGAGTTGCGAGCGAGAAGAGAGGGAGAGGGAGAGGGAGAGGGAGAGGGAGGGAGGGGAGAGCGAGAGCAAAACGAGAAGAGAGGAGCGGGAGAGGAGAGGAGAGGGGAGAGGAGAGGGAGAGGGAGGGAGGGGGAGGGAGGGAGGGAGGGAGGGAGGGGGGAGGGAGAGAGAGAGAGAGAGAGAGAGAGAGAGAGAGAGAGAGAGAGAGAGAGAGAGAAGAGAGAGAGAGAGAGAGAGAGAGAGAATAATTCCGTTGAAAAACATCAATAATTATAATGATACCAACTTTTTGCGTTCTTGGGCATATGGCTGGTGAGAATTGAGATACAGATTGGAGATATTACAGAAGCATCCGCGGGACACACACACACACACACACACACACACACACACAAACACACACACACAAACACACACACACACAACACACACACACACACAAAAAAAAAAAAAAAAAAAAAAAAAAAAAAATTGCTTCTTTGACAGAGTGGGACTACACCTTGCCCACGAACATGAGAGCGGTATGTGTAGTTATGAGGCTCTGAGTGTTCCCCATAAAAGAAGAAGTAAAAAAAAAGACTCGGGACAAAAGTTCACTGGAAAGAAGAAAAAGAAACTCAGGATAAAAGTTCACGGGAAGAAGAAGAAAAAAAAAAAAAAAACTCGGGACAAAAGTTCACGGGAAGAAGAAAAAAAATAGGACAAAAGTTCACGGGAAGAAGAAGGAGAAGAAAACTCAGGATAAAAGTTCACGGGAAGAAGAAAGAATAAAAAAAAATCGGGACAAAAGTTAACGGGAAGAAAAAAATAGGGACAAAAGTTCACGGGAACTCAAAAACAGGTCAGGTTACAGCCACAAGAGAGAGAATGTCAGCAAAAGGGTCTGGCTGTTTGGAAAGGTCAGCTTATATTTATGACCCGAGGAACAAGGGGGAGGAGGGGGGGGAGGGATGGCAGAACACACGGGGTTTTTAAAATCTCGAGTAAATATTGATACAAAACACGATTGTGGACATACAGTAATCTATCTCATTTTTTGTGGTTAATTGGAGTATAAGCAAGTGGTATGTAGTTCTTATTAGATACTACAGGTCCTTTAGAATTTGGCCTGGGAACACTTTTGAATGGTTGCGGTCAATTTGACAGCACTTTCTTGACCTGGGTTGGCCAGAGACGATAATCCGCAGAAAATAGAAAATATTTTGTGTCGGTAAAACACATACGCGCACACCCACACCCACGTTGTCTCTCGGTGTTGTGTGTGTGTGTGTGTGTGTGTGTGTGTGTGTGTGTGTGTGTGTGTGTGTGTGTGTGTGTGTGTGTGTGTGTGTGTGTGCGTGTGTGTGTGTGTGCGTGTGTGTGTACGGAAGGTTGATGCCACATAGCCTCCTAAGTGTTGCAAATGCTTTTGTAAACTGTTATGTCTTTGGGTACAAACGCATACAGCCCTCTAGTTATCAACCACGAGCTATTCTGGTTTAGCCTATATTTAAACTGTCATACCTATTATTCCCACGATTTCAACACTGACGCCTATTCATGCCAACCACTTACCATTACACCACCTGCTTGGTCGCAATCGGACACTGCAGAGACCATCACCATGACATGTTAGGGCAATCGGACACTGCAGAGGCCATTGCCATGACAAATTAGGGTCTATACCATTACCATAACAAGCTAGGCCCCTCGATACCTAGCCCCGCTTCCGTGTTTAGTCGCAAAACCTTACGCCTCTCCGTTAATTGAAATTTTCCTTTTGTTTGTTCCGGTATAGAAGCCTAAGACTTCTCTCTAGGCCTTATCCCTATCAGCCTATCACAGTTTTACTCCTCTGTACACCTCACATACATACATAGACAGACAGATAGATAGAGAGGGGGAAGGGAAAGGATATGCGAAAGAGAGGGAAAGAGAAGAGAGACTGAGAGAGGGGGTGGGGAGAGGGAAGGAGGGGAGAAGGGAGAGAAAGAGAGAGAAGGAGGGAGGGAGGAGAGAAAGGAAGAAGGAGAAGGAGAGAGAGAGGAGAGAGAGAGAGAGAGAGAGAGAGGAGAGAAGAGAGAGAGAGAGAGAGAGAGAGAGAGAGAGAGAGAGAGAGAGAGGAGAGAGAGAGAGAGATTTCTTTTGAATTTGTTGATCTACGAGATGTAATTAAATAAAGACCTCCAAAAACTGATGTAACTTCATTTTTATTCATATTCTTATATTTTTTTACCATTGGTTCTCCACCATACACCTCCATACAAGTCCAATACACCTCCATGCAATTCCAGTTAAGATTTTTTTCTATGATCAATACAGACACACTACATAGGTACATACACACATACATACATAATACACCCACAACTGTCCATAGACACACTACATAGGTACATACACACATACAAATACACCCACCATAATCCATAGACACACACTACATACGTACACACACACACATACATAATACACCCACCACAATCCACAGACACACTACATAGGTACATACACACATACAAAATACACCCACCACTGCCCACACCTCACTGTTCACAGTTGTGCTACGCCACCACAAGAGTGAACAAACGGCTTAGAGCGACCGCCATGTGCCGCCATGTGGTGTTCATCAGCGTGGCAATGTGCTTATACTCATACCACATAGATGGATAGAGGTCATTAGATAGACAAATAAACAGATACTGATAGGTTAATGGATAAAAAGAGATTGATAAATATGAATAGCTTGATAGATAAATCAAGATTAACAGATATTAGCACATATTGATAGATCA